TTTTCGGGGGCCCCCAAAGGGCGGGGGTAACCTTTCCCCCCCCAAACCTTCGCCCAACGCCGTGTTTTTGGGCTTTTTTCTTCCGGGTAAAAAGGGCTTTTAACCCCTTTGGCCTGGGGGGTCCCCCCCCCCCCCCCCCAAGGGCAGCCCCCCTTTAAAAATTCAATTCTTTTTCTTACCCTGGGGGACCAGGAAACACCCCCCCCCGGGGGGTTTTTCCCAAAACCAAGTTTTGGGATTCGCCCCCCCTAAAACCAAGGGGGCTTAAAATTTGTTTCCCCCCGGGGGATAACCCCCAACCCCTTCCCCCCCCCCCCCCCCCCCCCCCCTCGCGATTGACCCCCGGCGCCCTCTACCATCACCAACATTTGATCGCCACCCCCACTGTCGAAACCCTCTACGCGAACAAAAGGTTCGGGTGAAGTTCGTGACGAAGGTCCCGTCGATCCGGGTCACCGAGACCCCCGTGGCCGTTCCCGAGAGCCTGCAGCGCTATGGTCTCTCCGAGGTCGTCAACCACCTCCTGGGCCGCGACCCGCCGACCCCGTTCGACATGCTCGTGATGGGCCGCTTCCTTCGGAGCTCCCTCCGGTCGGTGATGCAGAGGCACGCCTTGAGCGGGGAGGCGGTGCTGGAGGTGGAGTACCTGCCGGCGCTCCGCCAGCCCACTGAAGCAGAGCACGCCGATCAGGTATGTACTGTACAGCGTCGCAGTTGGGCTGTGGTTACATGGGGAATTGGTATGTAGGGTCTGCGTACCCCCTCCCTGTTGTAGGTCCTCACAAACCTAATTTTTTTCTCGCCAAGTCGGTCCGCGGCAGCCTTGGCAGGGTTGTTCGTATTTATGTAAACATGTTGGATAAAGCGTGCAATCGGGGGAGTTGGGTTAGGGTTATAGGGATAGCTGATAGCCCCCTCTACACCTGTTCTATTTCCTCGTAAACTTAATTTCTCGCGAAGGCGGTCCTATGTGTGGGTGCATGGCCGCTAGGTTTTAGTTGTGATGCAGCGGTGGGGCCCGGTTTTGGCGACCCCTAGTCAGGAGTATGGACGCGATTCAGGGCAGGCCTCTGTTGCCGATATTTTGAAATGGCTATTAGTCCGGGCCAGCCCCGCGATTTCGTGGTCGCTATACAGGGCACGTCGTTATAAACAGGGGGTCACGAAACCCGGGCTTGGTGCCGGTGGCGGCGGCGGCGGAGACAACAGTTTGTGCTCTATTTTTTACAATGTTATCGTCGATGTTTGCAAGTCTACATGTATCTGGGCATCAACTTTTTGTCCTCGTCTGGTGCTTTCCGGGTGGAATGGTTAGACTGCTACCAGCACAGTCCATTGCTACCGAGGGCTTCGCCGAGTGGCGGGCGGGAACGGGGTTGTTGTCGCTTCTGTCGCCGTAGGAAACAGGTTTGTGACTGTTATTGCTGACTGCGTCGCGGCAGGTCAGGGTCGTACTGCCATTCTCTATAGACCCTTGTCTCACTTGCCCTTCCCCTTTGTCGCATCCCTTGTCCACACTCGTTGGCTGCTTTGCTTGCTTCTTCTCACGAAACCCAAGCCGGATTGGGTGAGCGCAGTCGCCGGCGCGGGCGCGGGTCTGGAGACCTTCGTGACGGGCTGCTACGATGGCTGCCTGCGAGTCTACGGCCCCGGCTGCAAGGTTAGCGCAGGTTGTACGGTTTTGTTTTCTGAAATGTATCGCTACGCTCGCAAAGTGGCATGTGGCACGGGCTGGTTTTGTCCTCTCTGAAGCTAGTTACAAGAGTCGCGGGCTGGTATGTGTGTTGGAGTACTTGCTTGGAAGGCGCATCCCCCATGACTTCGAGGGAGAGAGGTATTGCGTTGTAGCACCCCACACCGCACGTTTTTCTGTCTGCAAAGCACTGCTGTCTGCGCTCGCTGCCCGCGGAAGCTACGTTGCATCCACGGATGAGAAATCCATCCACCCCCGCAAGAGACTTGTATGAATTGCCCAACAGACTGCGGCAAGCAATGACCCCCCCCCCCCCCCCTCCCCTCCCCTCTACCGCGGTTCCCCGCGGTTCCCCGAGCAGGTGACATCTCTGGAAAAGGCGCACCAGGCTCCAGTTACGGCTCTCTGTGCGGTGCCCTCGCTGGCGGGAGGGAGACCAGGGGGGGCACACGCCGCAGGGTTCTTGAGCGGTAGCAAGGACATGACGGCAAGGCTGTGGAGAAGAGCGGGGTCGGGCGGGTGAGACAGGCAGGCAGCTGTTGCTCTCGCTTGTAGTCCTACTGGTGGTGGTGGTTGTTGTGGCAGCAGCAGTATATTGTCGTAGTTGGAGCAGTACGAAATAGGCATAAAAGATGGTATAACACGTATATGCGATGGCGTGGTACGGTGCTGCTTTTCGTTGTTCCGTCGTTTTTCTTCACGCGCAGCTTTGTTCCACGACTGTTGCTGTCCTTATCCCCCCCCTCCTCCTATGCTGTGGGGGCAATGACCCGTCCTCTCGAGAACGCGTGGTCAATGGTCTTAACAACTAAAGCATGCAAAACGTGAGCACGCCCCCGCCCCCGCCCCCTTTTGCACCCCGGTCCCCGACACCAGGAATTCCTCGCTGGAGGCAGCTGCAATTCTCCGGGGCCACGCCAACAGCATCTCCGCCGCGCACGCCGCCGCCTCAGGCAGCGGTGACAGCGGCGGAGCCCCGAGGGCGTACACCGGCGATTGGAGCGGCCACGTGTGCTTGTGGGACGTGGCCTGCCTGGAGGGGGGGCACGCGGACGGGGATGACGCCCAGGTACGCGGCTGGTGTAACCGTTTCGCGAGCGCGTTCCGGATTGGTGTGCGCTCCTTTGTATTTTTTGCGGTGTCCGGTGATGCGGGCCGCACGTAGGGGTTTGGCATACGAGTGATTGGGACAACGTTTTGGTTTGTCGCTCCGTAGATGTGGATCAAGAGCGCAACCTTCGCGGAACCGGCAACATGCGCCTAGACAGAAAACCGCCTTGGCTCGGGTGGGACGCGCATGCCTCTCCTCCCAGGTTCTTCTGTCAAATTGTAATGGAAACGGTTTCGGATTTTTATGCGGACAGGGTACGAAACGTCGAAAGACGGACACGGGTGCAGCGGCGGCGGCGGCGGCAGCGGTTACCGAGCTGACGCCTCTGGCGAGCTTTCGTGCCCACGCTCAGGCGGTCACCGGGCTGGCGGGTCCGGGGGGGGTAGGGAGGCCGCAGACAGCAGCGGTAGTGGTACCTAGCAGCACATTGTACAGCGCGTCGTTGGACCGTGCGGTGAAGACGTGGGACGCGGAGAGGCAGGACTGCTTACATACTCTCAACGCACCCAAGGCGGTCACGTGCCTTGGCTGTTCGGACAGCGGGAGGTAAGGAGCTAAGCTTTCTCGAGTTGTTTTTGCGGGTTGTTGTTGTTCACGCATCCAAGGTGGTCACATGTCTTGGCTGTTCGGAGAGCGGAAGGTAGGAGCTCAGGTTTAGGGTTGTTGTTGTTGTTGTTGTAGTTGGTGGTGGTGGTGGTGGCTTCACATCAAACACCGTTCCGCACTCTACTCAAGTGACTGATGTGCATCTTACCGGCCCAACTGACGCCTTCCATGGTCACAAGCTGATTACCCCACAGAGGTGTGGTTGTGGTATGTATACACGCTTTATTGAATAGTCGAAAGAGAAGATAGAAATGACCCATAAAAGTCAACACGAAAGCAACAACCCTCCCTTCTCTCGCCCCCTTGTCCTTTGGTAGGCTTCCCTGCTACCTGTTGCCCTCTACCCACGCCGTTTGCTGCTCTTCTGCGCGTACAAAGCGCTGGCCCACTAAGTAGCCGTCCATTTTGCTGTTCGGATTCCTCTAGAACGCCCATCCACTCACTCTCTCTCTCTCTCTCTCTCTCCGCCACGTCCGTTCTTCTACGTCTCTACTGCTGCGTGTTAGGATGCTGGCGACCGGCCATCCGGACGCACGAGTGCGCATCTGGGACACTCGCACGCAGGGAGAGACACTCACCAGGGCCTCCCTGAGCTCCCACAAGCAGTGGGTCACGGGCGTGAAGTGGGCTCCGGGTTCGGAAACTATGGTGCGTGCGAGAATCGTTAGTGGAGGTATTCACGCAACCCTTGCACACCTCGCGAAGCGCCCGAGACGAGATAGGCACGTCTTCCTTGCGTCTGTTTAGGAGAGGCTGATTCTGTTTCGGGGACGGGAACGGTGTTCCGTGTTGAACACACTAGAACCCGATGTATTGTCACTGGTTGCTCAAGGCAAGCAATGAATGTGTACGCCCCCCCGCGACGGGTACGAAGTATGTCTGTCGACCTCGTTTTCCGCTTGCAAGTGCCTAGAACTACTCGTCTGCAGCTACTTTCGGGCTAGAGAACACGCCATTGGACGTGGCGTCCGTAATCTGGACACGGGTGACTACGTGTACTGGCTGGGGAGGGGTATCATGTGTGTTTTTGTTACAAGCATCGACCGCGGTAACCGGCTGACCAACGAAAAGACGTCAGTCTCATTGCGGTTTGGGAAACACAAAATCATGCGTGTATGCTTGGAGGCAGGCGTGCAATCGAAGGGGCTCTTGTCGCTTCCTCGTCCAATGGCTTCCCTCTTGCTCCCTCGCGTGTAGGTGTTGAGCTGCAGCCACGACGGCTCGGTCAAGCTCTGGGACATCCGCTCCACGCTGCCGCTGCACAGCGCCCAGGCGCACCGGGGGAAGGCCCTCTGCTGCGGCTGGCAGGACGGGAAGATTGTCAGCGGGGGGGAAGACGGAGCGGTCAAGACTTATGTCGTGCCGGAGAGGAATCACGATTGACTGATGTTGGTGTTGACGTGACCAGCGGTTGTTTTCTCAGGACACGCATCCCCGTGCTATTTGTATGCATATGTCCCTCGGTTTCGAAGTGTCACCGAATTTCAACGCAGTGTTGTTCTTTGATTTTTGCCATGAGAGCGTTGACAGAGGCTCGGAGGTGAGCATTGGTGCTACAACGTGAGCTGCTCTATCTGAGCTTGTTCTGCGCTTGGGGGAGATTTTGAGTCCCCGTGCTTGCCTGGTAGTACTATTGTCGTGTGTGCTTTGTTAGTACATGTTTGCTGCAAGTCTGTGCTGTCCCGATCCTCCCTCTCCCGCGTAGTTGTTCTCCCTGATCGGTTGGTTTTGTTAAGCTGAAAGAACGGGGGACGAAGCGTTCTTTCCAGATTGATTGGCGAGAGCAACCGCGATATAGCCATGTATACACCCTCGTGTTGCGGACGTGGTGATGGCTCTTACAAGACAACGCTTGACTTGAGGTGTGCCTTAGCCAGATAGGACAGGCCGGTCGGTTTCGGGTCGGGGTTGATGGATGGGAGGGGCGAGCGCGGGGTTGCTAGGTGCCGCTCGTCACATGCAAACAGCTCTCGGTCACGGCACGTACGTGCCCCATTTCACTTTTGAACAGCAAAGGTCAGGTTCGATCGTGAGCAAAGAAAATGTATTTTCCCGTCTCTCACTGCGTGTTGTTGAGTCCTTCAGCACAAAAGAAAGGTGCCCGGTTGCGCGCGGCACTGCTTCCATTTGATTGCCCACAAGAAGTCAGCAGCTTAGAGTCTTTCACATTTTTTTCTGTGCGTGCTAATCTAAGTCCATGATATTGACCGTTTTTAATTTTGAAATACGCAGCCCTATGTACAGTAGCTAATACAGCTTGCATGCACGCACTCGAGAATCAATCGTCAACCGTCGTACATGGTCTCTCGCCGGGAAGCACAATGAGTGGCCCACATACCGGTGTACGTTATCTTTCGGAGAAGAAGTGAAACCTCCTTTCGAGTTCCGGTGTTTGACTATAAGTTTGTCGACGAGACCATCAGACAATGTATGTAGCGCTCGCCTCCTATTTAGCACTAAATCGCGCTGGTGAGGCCCTGTACCCGATTCTGACCCGTTCGTCGTGCCCTCTCGACATATATTTTTCGATACACTGCTGCACAACGAACCTACGGACCTACAACGCCCCCAGCGACCCACCCCAGATCCTACTATCCCAACCCCAATCCGGCGGAAGAGAAGGTAAAATAGATTGGAGAGGGCGCTATTACTTGGGTCTGTCTTGGTGCCCGCTAGAATGCCCGATGCCTAGACTGTAGTCTAGGTATGTACCTTTTTTTGCCCGACAAAGATTCAAAGATTCGTAGAGAGATTTGCATGCGGCCATGTGTACACACCTCCCGACAAAGGTCCACGGTTGGACACGATGAGCACGACCCTCGGCTTGATTAATCGGCTACTGCTTCAACCCTTCGGAGGTGAATCTACGCTAGTAACAATGCGATGCTGGTACCCCGTTGGTGCACGTACGATATCTCGGTCGCTCCCTCTTCCCGTGTGCATCTGTCGTCGAGTAGAGTTGTGGCATACGTCGTGTCGGGAATTGGAATGTAGAATGAAGGCAAGCTCATTACCTTCTGAAGACGGCTTGCCTCCCTAGAACGGGGTCTACAGAGCTTGCTCGATCGCACCCATCTAACTTTTGATGGAGAGACCAGGCTTGACAATGACACGAACCCGTGAGGCGTCCCGCCATCCCGCCATCCCGCCATCCCGCCATCATGATAATAATACAGACGGGATCATATTCCACCGCGTTTGTCTGTTATCAAATCCTCGCTGTACATAGTGGAGAACGGCCAAGAAGCCATCACGGCGGCCATACAGGAGTTTCTTGGGGCGAACAGGGATCCGACCGTAGTTCCAAAGAGACAAAAGCGAGGGGAGGAGGTATGCGAGATTCGGGAGCGGTTTTGCAGCACAAGAGAAAGATCGCAGACACACATCGATCGTTCGTCGACGTCATTTTTTTTTTTATTACGTTTGATTGCTGTGCGTACTGCTGTAGTCTACACACCAGCATATTTTGTACACGTGTAGAAACTCATCGTTCGCAGTTTCTAACGACCCTGCGACCTTGCTTCTCAGTCTGAACTCCTTCGGATCAGGGTAATAATTCCTCTGTGATGCCATGCCACCTACCTCTCTACTGATGCCGTCTTATATTCATTTGTGGCTACAGCGTATGGTTCTGTATTTGATATGAACAGTCGACGACGCGCAACTATGCGCAACCATATAACGATGCAGTTGCGCGTCGTCGACTATTCATTACATATTACAAGGCCGGAATAGACACCCTAACAAATTTAGCACATACATGCTGCTTTATGCGTCAAAACGCAGGATAAGGATGATATGAGGGCGATCTTGGCGACCCTGGAATCAGGGGGTGGTCGGAATGGCCCTCTCCCGGTGCTGCTATTGAAGGTAAACACGAATGAATGCAGTTTGTAGAAGCAATCGGGATCCTTATCCTTCCACCGTTCGTGCCGCCCATGGTGTACAGCATTTTCGTCTGGTGAATGCAGACACGAACATGGCACAGCATCAAGTTATTTGCAGCTGTGACGATTCCCTTTTGACGAGCCATAGGCACAGCACACGTACGAGCTGTCAGGTACCAACACTTCATCCAGCCGTGGGCTCGCGTGGTTTCGGAACGCCATAAGTATTACACACTAGACTACTGCCACAACTATAGCACAACCAGCTAGGTCACGTAAAGTGCATCGCACCTTCGTGGGTTGCGCTTGACTACTTAGTCGAGCTAGATCTTTTGTAGAGTGCAAGTACCGCAAGAGGCGTAGAGTTGGCAACCAGCCTAGACCGATTTTCGGAGACCGATTGCTCCACAACCAACCAAGCTTGAGACATCAACAAACAAACATGAAGTATGTTTTTCGAAACATCTCGTACTTTCCTTAGACGTGTCGGGGTGTTTCCGCGCCCATTTGTTTGTGGAGCAATCGAATCGAGGTTTGAAAGTCGCCCTATGAGGGGTGCCATTTCTCTGCCCCTGATGGTAGTTCGCTAAGTGATCGCGCACTCCACACCACTCTCCCTCAGCTGGTCGATTCGACTCTCACCTTTCATGACCCCTCCTGCCACCCTAACGTACCGAAGCACCTGACATAATAACACGACGACACCCTTTTGAACAAACGTTCGTCCAGGTGTTGAAAGTGCTCCTGCGCAAACAATCCAATCGAGCAGCACTGGGCCGGCCGGCAGTCCAGACGTTGACCACTCTGATGAGCTCGGATGGCATGGACATGTGAGCACCGCGAGATTTTTCATCTGCCGACTGCTTGCTCGGGGAGCATTGTGAAGATAACATTCTTGTGCAGCAGTTGGTAATTGGGCACCACTTCCACTCCGGGCATCTCTAGCACTACCATCATTTAGAGCATCCGCCCGCACCCTATTGTCTCTTATCTTCCCCACCTCCACCCGCCCCTTTTTTCTGCCTCCCTTCGCGCCTCCTGCCCTTCCCCCCCCCCCCCCGCACGCCCGCGGTAATCGTTGTCCGACACTCTCAAGGGTATCGTGCGAGTGTGCGAATGTGGTGTTGAACATGTGCTACGACGCCGGGAATGTGCAGTACTTCTTGGAGGTCAGGCATTCCTTGAGCAAGAAAAGGGGGTGTGGAATGTACAGTTCTTTTTTTTTGTGCTTTCTCACTCCACCAGGTATCATGCACACGACAACGCAATTCATTCGTTTTTTTCCACGCGTTGCTTGCAAGGAAGTACGAGATACATAGAACACTGGGAGTGCGTACACCAGAGAGCGCCCAAAACAACCAAATAGCCAATAGGTTTCTCCCAGTGGTTGGCGATTAGGACAATGACGAAAGACGACTCGTTTTAGACGGCACTGATTGCACCCTCGTACAACGCTATGTACTTTTTCCGATTCGATGCTCATTTTCTCTGGTGGCGCGGGAAGCAATTCCCTCAAGAATTGAACGATGGCCTGTAACAGCTCGTCGTCCCCCGAGCATCTACCCTGACATACATGCCGAATCAACGCATGTGGCATCACCTCCACCACCATCACCCTACCCGCACCAAACGGTGGCAACCGTCGACCTCAATCCCCCGACGTAACGGTTTGGCGTAGAACTTGACATGCCAATATGTAGCGGTCACCGGACTTTCTTCTACCGCTTACCGCCTTCCCTTGCTCTTTCGCGACAGGAGTGCGTGCTGCATCTTCTTCCGAAACAACCCCCTCCTCCCTTGATCGTCAACCTTTATGATAGGTCGGTGGTGTTGAGGCGCTTGGACCCCTGGTACTTTCCGGCAACGAACACTTGAAGGTTAGAAGTAGGCTCCATCTATGTATGTATCTGTTTCTCGTTTTCTCTGGTACCATCACCGCGCGCGTATATAGGGTCGATAGGGTCGTGTCTCCCTCCCGCGTGGTTTCGCGTAGAAAAATCTGTGCGGTGCCTTTGCACATGGTTGTCGATAGGGTCGTGTCTCCCTCCCGCGTGGTTTCGCGTAGAAAAATCTGTGCGGTGCCTTTGCACATGGTTGTCGATAGGGTCGTGTCTCCCTCCCGCGTGGTTTCGCGTAGAAAAATCTGTGCGGTGCCCTTGCACATGGTTGTCCCCCCCCGACGGGAGAAAACTGCCTGCAAGAATCTGGTGTTCGTGTGTACCGGCCCTTGTTTTTTCCCTCCCCGCTGTCCTCGCACGTTGTTTGGTATATCTTGCTCTTGTCCTGCTCCACCTCATCTCGCCCGTTTTGTTTCTCCGTTCTCTTCTCTTCTCCACCCCGGCAACCTTCACGGCGCCGTCAGGCAAGCGGGCTAGGAGCGCTGCAGAGCGTGTGCTTCGACAAGCCCGGCAGGGACGCCACAAGAGGCAGGTGACATCGATCGTTGGACCCTCACGCACGCGAACCTTGTTCGAAGGTCTAAGGTGTTTCGCTTAATGCTTCGAGCCTGCCAACAAACATGGCCAATTAGTGGCAACGCGCCTTTTCCAGAAAACCGCTCGACCAACGTCTTGAGTTGCGAGTTCGTTCCTCGCCCCTCGCCGGGCTTGTGGCAGAAGACTACGTACCCTGGAGTGTGATGACTCGGTCCGCCTGAGCTCCCACTCCATGCTGAGACCCCGCGTTGTTGCAACATCTACCAAATGCCGGGCGCTTTGTTTTCTGCGGTTGTAGAATGGGCTCTCGACAGTTGCACCCCCACGCCGTTCTTCTCCTTTGCTCGGCGTGCTTACTGCGCGAGATCCGTCGTTTTGACTGATGGCCCGAAACAAGCCTTTAAAGTAATACACGAGCTCGCGCAACTCCAGAGATGCAACACCTCTCTCTCTCTCTCTTTCTCTCTCTTTCTCTCTCTGTCTCACCCACAAAAATCGATTGGTGCGACTTCGGTCGACACCAACAACCGGAGAAAACAAGTCAATGTTGGCTGTGATGCCATGGCCAAAATAGACGCAGCATCGCGGATGCTTGTTCTGTTCTGAATGTGCTCACTCGCGTATCGACCAACCAGATAACGGTTTAATCGGCGCGGTGGTGAGACTTCTGGAAGACGACAGCCCCAAAGTACGAGCGAGGGCGCTGGGCACGGTCCACAACCTCAGCACCGACGCCCGGAGCATCGGGATCATTCGGGAAGAGGTGGGCGAAAAGTGGGAGGGGTAGATCGGGTTTGAAACAACTACGGCAACAACAACGACTACAACCACATGACAACAACAGTAGCAATGGTCCACCTGTGGGACCACACTCGAGCAATAGAAGAACCAAAGCTGACACATCCTGTGGGACCACAACGCGTACGAAGCAGGGGGGCTTGCCGCGGTTGGTTCGGCTCCTTCGATCTCACGAGGCACACGTGTGCGGAGGCGCGGCGGGAACGATACAGAACCTCTCGCGCGAGGAGAAGAGTCGCGCCCTGCTGCTCGAGAGCTTTGGAGCCGTGGAGCCCCTGGCTGATTTGCTGGTCGGGCGACACGTCAAGAGCCAGGTGGGTGGCTGTGGCTTCACGTCGCGAGGCACCCCAGCGGCAGAATTCCGCCGCTCGGTCGCCCCACCGGTAAAGCCGGGCGCTGTGTCTTGCGAATGCTAGCAAAAACGCCACCCCCGACGATGAGCCGATGCCTGTTCTTCGGTTGTACTAGGGGAGACTTGTATTTTACTGTAGGGTGGTCGAGAACAGGAGATCGGCAAGACTCATCTTGTACTGTAGGGTGGTCAAGTACGGGAGATCGGCCTTCCCACGGTTCTGTAGGAGTGGGGCCGCAGGAGATGATAATGTGAAGCCCTGCACGCGGCGTGATGATGCCACACGTTGCGGGCTGCTACTATGGTAGCGCCCGCCCGTATCCGTACCTCAATACAGCTTTTTACCGCGGACAGTGCTTCCGGGTTTAGGTGTGCCTCATCTCGCAGGCAACCAACCGTTGCCCCATCGCATCTGTGAGACCGCTTTTTGCTGCGTTTTGACAATGCAGTGCATGGTTGTACGGGTGCCAAATTCGTTCGTTGGGCTTGACGACGTTACCCTCGTCGCTGCTGGTTTTTTTTTCATGTCTACGGTGGCAACGGCGGCGGCGATGACGGCGACGGTTTTTCATGTAGATCTCCGCGGCGGGAGCCCTTGTCAATATTGTCGGCCCGGACGCGAGAGGAAGCAAGGTGGGTTGACGATCAAAAGAGCGCTGGGTGGTGTTATCGTGCCGGCCTACCAGCTAGATGCTTGCGGACGGTTGCTGCTCTCGACCGGAACGTCATGTCGTTGGTTTCTTTTGTGCCCGGACTGCAGAAAGTATTCCTTCCATCAACTCTGTTTTTTGTCGTTAAGCACTTGTGGGCTCGGCCACCTCCAATTATTCCCCACCCCCACCCCAAGGTCAATGGTCTAACGACTACGGCACGCACGGCTATGAGTACACCCCCCCCCCCATCCCCCCTTGTCGACCTACGCGTTGCTCCGACTCGCCACCGGCTATCCAACCAGCGGCAGCTGCTTCACGACGTGGTGACGGACGGAATCGTCCTCGGGGTGATCGAGAGCTGCATGGTTTAAGCCCTATAGACTACAATAATAGGATCAAGTTGTTTTTTTTCGGTTGCTTTCTAGACGGCCGAGGCGGCGATTTTGTTAGTATCCTGCAGGAGCTCCTCCAAAGCCACGGTCTTGGTTGCCTAGCCTTGCAAGAGTTCTGCTCACACTTTCTTGTTTTTTCCTCTCCTGAAGTCCATCCCATGACAACCTGAGCAACCTTCACCCCGCAACGCACCTGTTTTGGAGGAATTTCTGATTGGGGTTGGTTGCTCCCTCCAGCCCTCGCTGCGGAGAAGCGTGATTCTGGCTTCGGTTTCAGAACACAGGCTACGCTTTTTGGTTCTCAGTTGGCCTTTTCCCAACCACCGTTAGCAAAGGGACGGGAGGGAGCGGCGGTTCTTCGTCGGGATCACACAATAAAAGACGTCTGGCCGAAAATGAAGGGTATGAACGCAGTTTGCTGCCCGACAGCGCGCGGGGACCATTTCGACTACCCATCAATTAGGATGTGGTGATGTGGGACGAAGTAACCACAAAGACCTTTGTCCTGGGGATGATTTCATCGATTTATAGAGCTACAGTATGTTGCCATCGCACCTTCTGGACGGGGGATTTTTCTGTTTTTATGGCGCCCTCCCGTTAGGCTCATTGTTTAAACCGCGCACGGATTTGAATCACCGTGGTCCCACACTAGAACTCAAAACGGACGCACAAGCCTAATTTACCACAGGAATACGCTTTTCAGGCAAAAGCAAAAAAGGTGTACCCGCCCCCCAATGGCAGCACAAATCGACACCCCCAAAAGGAGCTCCAGAATAGGTATCAACAACCTCTCTGCAAGAACATTGCCCCTCAGCTTGGTATTGCTCTTGGGTGAGCACCAAATGGTCAAGATCTGTCTAAAAATCACCTAGTTGGTTCACGCAGCGGACGGGGCCCAATCAACGCCTATCGATTGATACGGTTCCAACCATGTTCACGTGCCGGCTTCGCATCAGTATGCCACCCAGGAAATTTTTGTGGTTAGTTTGATATTCGCCGGAAGAACCCCAATGCAAGTGATACAAGTTGGTTGTTTGCAAACCGTCAACTCTATTGATTCGGGGGCGTCGCCTCCCCTTAGGCATGAAGCGTATAAGACGTGAACGCTACTACAAGGAAGGATGGTGCGCGATTCGCCGACTCTATTGCATCGCGGTCGACCACTTCCGTGCCCATGGTTTCCTCTCAACCCGTCACCATGAACGCTCCGGCCTCTCCTGCGCATAGAACTGGAGTTCCGTGAGCCGCTCCAACACCGAGAAAATCAACGAAATTAGACCGATCGACAGACCATCCTCCCAAGCCTCGGACGACAGGGAAACGGTCAAAAACATGCGAAGCTTGTTGTTAGTAAACTCGATCGACTTCATAAGTCGCGAGGGAAGGGATTGCTGTACGCTTCTCGCGATAAAATATCTCAGGCAGGAACAGTAGGAGGGGGTCCAACCCCCCCCTCCTATGTGACCCCGGTTGGGTCGTCTAGCTAGTAGAAGTGGAGGATAGGGGCCAGAGGGGCAGACGACAGAATACAATGATGGGAGAAAAAAAAACAATTGAGTCGACCACCAACGTCTCCCCCACCGCCCTCAGCATAACCACTGATCTTGGCGTGGTCGTGGCGCCGCCAGGGAGGTGGTGCCCATGCGGGCAGGAGAATATTACACCCGCGACAAAGGTGTGGGGGTGGTGGTTGACAATTCTATCGATCAACGACAGGTCACACCCCGACCGTTCCAATATCTCCGCAGGCAGGCGTGTTTCCTGACATTCCACACCACAGCAACATCACGAAAGAGCTCGACTTCGGGAGCGAGCCCGCCCGGGTGTTTGTGTAAATGTGAAACTTGGTTGCTGGTTCAGGGAATGGTAATTTTTTGCCACGCAAAAAGCTTAGCAAATGGATGATTTGCTACATAGTAGCTTGCTTGGGTTTCTGGCAGCGATGCCGCGGACGATGTCTCCGGCGGACGTTCCCGGGCAGCACGCACACCTTGCACACAATTCCATTTCGACTCACATAATCCAACATATCCGAGAAACCGACTGCACCCGTCGGTTGTGTACAAACATCTGCACTTGGGCGTCGTTCTTAGGCACCATCGCTAAGATAGCGGTTTGGCGTGGTTAAGGCTGCGGCTTGGAGCGGTTAATGCTACCAAGTAGACCAACCCCATCGCACAAAACCGTGCTATTTAGACACCCCGCCCCGCCACGTGACATTTCCCACCTACATGGAAAAAAAACGCCCTCTACCGTGAACACTCGAAGAAACAAACCGCACGGCAGAGCGGGTCTACATCGTGAAAAGCCCTGAAACAAGGAAATCTGTCTCATCCACTAGAACAACAACGCAGTTCGAAGGAAGAAGAGTGTCTTTGTGATGTCTGGTTCCACAAAAAACATGGTACCATGCATTGTTCGACCGCTCCGTTGAGTAATCTTAGAACAATCAATAGTCGAAAAACCAGCTGCTTGTCTCTTTTGAGGCTCACGCTCTGTTTTGAACACGCCCAACAAATCATGTTGCGGCCGTCGTATGCTGTTATTGGGGCATAAGCGTCCGCAGCGGCAATGTGGCTATGGCCAAGAGGAACGCTAGACAGCGTGAGATGCAGCTCGGTGTGCTTCCGCAAAATAAATGCAGTACTTCACAGGTAGAGAATATGTCGTTGCTCTGGCTGACCTCACGACCAGGCCTGCTTAGAACGGGATGATGACAAGTGATGGGCGTGCGCTTGAAGCAGGACAGCAACAACTTTGTTTCCAACAATAATCTCAGACTCATATGCCCATCAACGTTATCGACATAACGAAAGCTCGACGCTACGGTCTGTCTCTTCGGCAAGAGCCACTGACAGTTGTTAGAAAATCATACTTCGGACGAAACATACCAAACCTTTCGGCCGTCTCTTTATCCCGAAAGAATATCAAAGAGCTGCGTATGTATGTATGTATCTCGTTCGCCGAACAGACCGTTGAATACCGACGAAACGATTTCTTTTTGCTTCTGTCACAAAGAAAACGAAGAAACGGCGTCTCGTTTCGCTTACTTCTCTTGTCGGCCTCATGCACAGAAAGCTTGAACATAAAAATAAAAAAACATTCTCGCGGATGAAATGACAGAGAAAAATTCAACCTCCAAAATAGCAAAATAGAGAGGAACTCACCCCACAAATTGATTGGTATTAAAGGCTAAAGCTCGTAGCCAACGGTACCGTATGTAGCCCCAAATAATCCTGTGACAGGATGCTGCGGCGTACGGTGCGAGACCCCAGCGGCAGACTTCCGCCGCTTGATGTATACTCTAGACGTCGAATGGAAGAGACGCACGCCACGCGTGGAATTCCAGTTTCAAAGCTATTAACCAATCGAACACACACAAAGCTTGGGGGTATTATATTGGTCTTCGAGGTGAGGCCAATGAGACGCACACGCTACACGAAGCTCCTTGTCGACTTGGACACGGGAGCCTCGTCGTCGATTTGGACAAGGAGCGCGGCAGTAACGCGTCGTTATCGTGTAGCATTGCAATTTTTTCCCCACTCTCTTGTAGCCACACGCGTAAGAAACCACTACTTAACTCTTGAATAAAGTAGACAGGTCGCCGACCCCCCCCCCCCCCCCCGTAATTACTGTACAGGACAAACCCAGAAAGAACCAGACCGAACGAGCACAAAAACGCAGACAGACGTCCAACAAGACACCTGACCTCAACAGCTGGTAAATCACGTACGTACGTACATACAAACGTACGATCGTAACACTTGTTCCGTGCCGCTGCACCATCAGCAACAACTTGTGAAATCCAGGCTTGACTCCATCATGGTCCAATGGAACGGCTCAAAGAAGAAACACTCCACGCGTACCTAACCGGGCGACACACGAACGAACGTGTTCAGCAGCTTCCCGCTGCTCCGTGTTACAAGGGAACTCGGAACCCCCCCCCCCACCTGTTTTAATACTAGAAGCTACAGTAGAGGGGACAATATCAGCCTGCGCCTGGCACCGGTTGGCTCTTATCAAAGGGCCTCGATTGCGTACAACGGTCTGCTGATAGACTAGGCTATTGTTGTTGCCTGAACCGGCCCGGACGCTTTCGTCGCCAAACCCCTCGGTTCGCCTAACGCTGCGTAACTACTGCTGTTTTTGTGTACAGAGTTCTGGAGGCCGACCTGAGACTCTTTCCTCCAACCATCAGCTCAAGCAACTCGATTGATGATTGACTGGCGGTTGATCGCCTCCTCCCCGATGTGCGGCGTTCACAACGAAATATAATTGCACACAGTAGACGCCACAGGCACACCTTATCGAGGGAGCCAGATCACCACCACACGGAGAGATTGTTCACGTTTTTCCCGTGCTCTGGCTAAAGCGTCTTCTCATTGATCAGCCCGATATAATTATGTCATTTAACCCTGATAGCACGGTCGATGCTGCCCAAAAGAAAACAAAAAAAAACACAAACACACTTCACCACCACACACATCACAAGACTTGTAACCATCAGAACTCCTCATCCATGTCGAACCCCCCCGCCGCACCACCTCCCGCCCAACCCCCACCACCACCACCACCGCCGCCTCCGCTGGCGCCACCTCGATAAGATAATAGTGCCATGGACCCGCTTGGTGGTGCGTTGTCGTCTTGATAACCCCCCCTCCCCCCTGCTGCTGCTCCTCCTCCTCCTCCTCCTCCTCCTCCTCCTCCTGTGTCCATCATGTTGTTGGCGTTTCTGTCTCCCTTGACGGCGGCCCGGTACTTGGCGAGGTAGACCTTGAGCGGTTCGATGTAGTCGTCAAAACCCAGCGTGTTCATGGACGTGATGATGTCTTCGCCGCTGATTGTCTTGCGCTTTTCGTCCTGGCACTTGTCGCTGGCGTCGGCGGTGATCCAGCAGATGAACTCCGACACGCACTCCTGCCATCACATCACATCATCAAGAAAGAAAACGCAACGGAAAGGAGAACGAACGTGAAACACACATCGATCCATCGATCATTGTTGGTGGTGGAAATGGTTCGGTTACTCTACAGTGTACTGTATAATATAAGTGGAACACAGCAGCTAGCTGTAGAGTAGGATGTCTATCTCGTTGTAGACTGTATACCCAAAGCTGCTGCACGTATACCGCGCGTATTGTAGAGCATGCATGCCTGATGTCGGTGCTTTCGCACAAGACGCGGTCGTAGCCTGAGGCGAAGCACCGGTGGTGCGCAATTCGTAAGAGTCGGTACTACTACTGTGGATGACAGACATGCCGTATGTTGTTCCCAGACAGATTTAAAAACGTACAAACCAGTGGGCCATTTGGGATCCCCGGCAAAACGCCGAGACCCCATGCATCTTGACGAGGAATACATAGATTCACCGTGCCTGCGAAGGACGGGGGGTCTTGACCCGCGCAGGTGGGTCAATGAAGTCCCCCCCCTGGAGTCGCTCTCACCTTATTGCCCCGGTTGTCAAGCATACGCATGATGACTACATACCTCTCGGCACTTTCTCGCCTGCATCTCACAAAAGGACATGCATGGTGGAGGTCCACCCACCACGTCAGTCAGGGATCGTCTCTTAGGAGTAGAGTTCATCTACTACATTATTGATTGGCGTCGACGAAGAGACGTAAAGCAAGCTTTTCATGTTCGGCGTTTCATGTTCGTAAGCCGACTTTGGTTCGCGCGAGAGTGAGTGGCGTGTGACGTCATTATAATTTTTTACGTCTTGGATCGACTTTTCCCGATTCTCACTACACTCTGCCCCCTCTCCCTGCTGCTGGAGGTATAACCATCAGCAGCCGAATCAGTCTCGGAGAGGGAGGTGTGCAACATATGAATGTGTCATGGGGGGGGGAGATTGATTCTACTGCAGGACACGTGCGTCCCGTGAAGAACTTCATGTAGTACCTGGTGCCCTGCTGTGAACTGTCTGTCTGTCGGGTTTACCGGAACCGCTCGTTCACAGCGGCAAAGTCAGCCTACAAAGCTACAAATAATATCTTCACAACAAAAATCCAAGATTCCCAAAAGACTCAACGAAGTCGATCGACGAATGTTTTGACGCTGACGCTGTGCGCTGGGTCATTGTGGGAGCTTGAAGGCCACCTTGGGGCTAACATCCAAGAGCGCCTTGTACACTATGCATCCTACGCGTACGCAAAATGACCCGGAAGATGAGAGCAAGATAAAAAAAATCGTTTTTTTACCAGACAAATGAGTCTCGCGAGAATGTTCTGTAAAAGCGGCAAATTTCATACTTTATTTTTGCACGAAGCAGCCATTTTTTTTGTTGCTGTAAAGTTCCTCTCGAGAGAACGGAAGGAAATCATACTGGGAGCAAACACCGCCGCTTGTGCTGACCTAGCATACTTGCAGCTAGGATACATATGGGTGTACTTATTCCGTGGAAACCAAGAGAGAGGAGGAGCAATCGTGCGTGCTGGAGACCTGGATCTCTTCTTGCCCGTATGCAAATGTATGATGCAGATGCTTGCTTGCGCTTTCGGGTCGGGATAAAAGCGGGGTGTATACACGGGCGGGGCGGCATTATTTACCAGCCCACAAACGCTGCGTGAATTCGTTCCGAATGTGGATGTATTACATAAATAAATCATGGCTTCTGGCTCGCTACACAGCACCAGTCGATTCGTAGGCGGGTATCAGTGGGGCCAAAATTCCCTGCTCTACGGAGCGGTGTAGTATTGGCCGTCCCTTCTCGCTCCCTCGCGAGCTCCACATCGATATTTTTCGACAAAGAAAGGTTGTGTGTGCAAGGCGGATCACCCGCCTTCTTCAAAAGCGCGGGACCGCATGAAGCGGTTGAGAAAATTCTGACTTGCGTGGATTTGACTTGACATGACTGCTGTGCTGCTGTGTGACGAGGACGTACGGCGCTGCTGTTGATCTGCAGGAAAATATGTGGGCTCTGGCAGACACGCTGACTGCCTTGGGGGCACAATTGCAGCACACAAAGGTTGGCCACAGCGTTCCCAGGAGGCGGAGAACGTCAAGGGTCGTCCCAAGCTCTACGAGCGGAAAAAAACTGGCTTCACGATCCAGGATAGATGAGGGAAATTTCGATGCACATCATACGCTACAAAAAGCGCCAACAAAACAGCGGTATGTACTGGCGCCTGGCAGTTCGAGGTGCGCAGGACTCCCGCGACAGGGGCTCTCGCGAGCGTGCGGCAGTTTTGTTCGAGGTCCCTCAAGAAAGCGTGTGCGCTTACCTGCGTGGTTTCCTTTGCGTCTTTGGCAACCTTTGCGTTGTACGGCAGACGTTTCTTCACGAGGCGACTGATGTTCGCGATTGGCAGGAAGCGGTCCTGCTCCCTGAGCTCCTCGACGTCGTCATCTCCTCCCCCTGTGTGCTCCGCCATAACCCTGGTACCGTCGAGCTGGCTTGCCGCCTCGTCGCGTGCTTTTCCTCTCGCTCAATGCCGCTGTTTGATAGAACCCACACCTGGACTAAAAAAACTCTCCGCGCCTGTGTGTGTGCGGGGACGGGGGTTGTGCGGCAGGCACACATGATGACATCCATGCGCCGCGAAGGGGAACATGCGCATTTTAATGCCACACGCACACGTGTACTGCTTCGTTTTCCTTTTTTTACCTGATTTTTCCCACCAGAGCCGTTGCGACCCCACAACACAAGGAAGTTAACTCGCCGGCCGGGGATCTATCTTCGAACAACCCGCCCGTAATAATCGTCACCATTGTAATCTACGTCCTCGTGCTGCTCACCAAGTGGACCTATCATATCGTGCCATCATCGCCGTGATGTAGTACTAAAGTACCTCGGCAATTTTCGTCGCAGTTTATCCTCCCTTCTTCTTCGGGACCTTTCTTTCTGATGTAGATAGAGCGAAAGGCGCCAAAACACATAAAACACGCGACCACGACCATCGCGAGCATGACATTGTTGTGAAAATTGACAAGGAAATGTTATTGTAGTCTCGTGAGCCTCGCCAATCCTCCTCCGGTCATGATGATGCTATCCTTGGAATGTCAAGCATCGATACATAACACCCAAAATACGTCAACAGCAGAAAACGGTTCTCGTTGGTGTACGCATGGGCTGCCAAGACTGACTGCGAAACAGACGGCGGCAGCTAGCGTCGGCCACCCAAAACGAGAAGGGCACGGACAACGCTCAAACGGCGTCCTCCGTTGTTGTCCTTCTGTCTCACCGGACGGGGCGATAAAGAGTCGGCCAGACACAGCTAACCCGCGCAGCTTCATAGCACTCTACCGTTTCACCTACGCCTTGGACCATCATCGCGGATCACCCGCAGCTACATAGTTATATTAGCAAGCTCCAGATTTCGAACTCAAAATTACGCGAGCCCGGCCGGCGAAGTTCGAAATTTCCGCTTCACCCACAAACAACCGCATGCGAGAGGCACATAGTAGGAGGCCACACGCGGATATATGAACAGCAGTCAGTACGGCCAAGGGTCAAGAGAGGGAAAAGGACTGCGCCGCCTTGTTGCCCACGTCACGGCTAACGAACGTACAACACGCCGCCAAACGCTACAAATACCACAATCCAAAAGTAGACACCTCTCAATTTTTGATTATTTTCTGTGTGTACACATCTTGTTGGCTGGTCGCCCCAACCGTACTTTTGCGCCTCTTGCCCCGATATCGTTTTTCCGGCGAGACAGAGCCGCAATAACGGACCACAGCTACAGTTATCTTGAGCGGGACCAGTCGCAACGAACCAGACCGTTCTGCCCTCGGCTCTAATCTTGCAACGCCTTCTGTCGCAACGGCTCTCTCCCTCCGTGGCACGTATGCACTCTTCGCTTGCGTACGGCGCGGGAGCAGTATCTATGGCAGACCAGCTAAATAGCCATTTCAACTAATGGTAGGAAACACGATTGCTTTGCTCAAACCTCGAAATCTTAACACAGAGTTCTAGTACCCGTATCGTAAGGAATATGATACCATAGGTTGACATAACACGCTACGGCGAGGATGCCTTGTTCCCCCCCAACACTGGGGATCCCAACAGCTTGCTGGACTCACACACTGCAAGCAGCAGCGGCTGCAACGCGCTTGTTGCATGCAACCAACCAGAAGTCAGCATATCTACAACTTTTTCTCCGACCGAAAAACACCCCGGGAAATATCCGATCACTCCCTCTGCACCGAACACCCCTTTCCAAGCAGGCGATATCGATCGACTGGACACAGCGCCCCATCCTCTGTCTGCCTCAACATGACAACATCTCCGCTCTCACTACCCCAAAAAAATACTCGCGGCCAGCAGGTTGGTTTCCCACTAGAACCCTGCCGCCCCCGCGGGCCCCGCGCCCCCGCCTCCTGCCGCGCCGCCCGCCCCGCCCTGCGCCCCGTAGTAACCCCCGCTGGTTGCCATGGCTTCGCTCGCGTCGTCCCTCTTGCCTTTCCGGTCCGGCTTCTCCAACTTCACGGATTCGCGGTCTGGGAAAACGCACCGTGCATCGCGCACACCATGGCATGGACGGCGCGGGGTAAATAGCCCACATAAAGAGGTAAAATGTGACGACTGACTGCTGTACAGCAGTTTGCGTACAGCAGTTTGCGCCCGCGATTGTTGAAGAAACGTCAATTTTGGGGGTCGAGGCTCGATTGTATTTCGTCGCTACCGTCGAGCATAGGTCATCATAACATACGAAGTAGAGATTAGTGTAGGATCCACGGCTGAGGTGTGTTTCTTTCGTAGTTGATTTTGATTTACTGCCAAAACCTGAGCCTTTGTTTCGTTAAAAGGTTTGTTTTTTTCATCTCGGGCGCAAACTAACTGCTGCGTTTGTGAACGCGGTTTGTGGCGTTCCATAGAAGGGAGAGATCCAGCCCAAACAAGTGCGAGCCACCGCAACCCCCCCCGTAGACCGAAGTTCAAAGGTAGACAATAGCTTCCCGTCCACCACACACAACAAAGAGCGTCCAATAAAAGACACCCGACACACGAGAGAACACCTCACGGCGAGATGCTTCCAAATTGAAGGCCTCACAAACTAGGGGTGTTTTCTAATCTACTGCCGCCAATGTGGCATACAGATATGTCACTGCTCTCCAATTGTGTTGCCCCTGCCGTCGGGTGTGGCGATGATAAACCTTCCGCATTCCGCAACAACACTCCTAAGGTTGAGAAAAACTGTCCAGAAGTATGTATGCATACGTGGAGACGTTCAAGTGATCCCCCCGGAGTTGGTTCATTAGAGCACAGCAGTGACACCAAGGGGTGATGCAAGATGACAACAAGAGCACATGACCAAAACACAGCTGGCTTCCAGCTTCCGGCTGCGGTGTGACATTTCCCACGTAAAAAAAAACAGCTCACGTGTTTTCGACTCGAACAGCTTACCGAACCTTTCAACGAATCAACAAGAATAATATACTTGTAGAGCCTGTTACCCACGGGGAACAATCGCTGTGCGCTGTTCAGGAAACGGTAGAAACACTGGTAGCGGTCCGCTACACTGCTGTAACGCTATGAATTCAATGCTAATTCATCCTGGACTCTCATCTCTTATCCGTAGATCGAGATGGATTCGCGGTGTCACACATCAAGAACAAAATAAAAACTGCATGCACACAAGAGTCTTACATTTGGAGAGGTAGATCTTGAGCGGGTCGACGTACTTGTCGAAGCCCAGCGTGCTCATGGCCCAAAGCAGGTCCTCGCCGTTGATGGTCTTGCGCTTCTCCTGCTTGCACTTGTCGCTGGCCTCAGAGGTGATGAAGCAGATGAACTCCGACACGCACTCCTTGCGTATAGTGGACGCCAACAACGTGTGTAGGGGTCATATTGGTGGATGTGCTCGTTCCGTCCCTACATCACGTTGCAACTTGTCGTCGCAGGCTGCCGGCGATGAAGCGAACCGCCTACGCAGGATTTTAGTATGTATCTAGAAAAAGAATAGGCAGGGGGGCACGCAGACCCTATCCCTAACCCAAACACTAACCCCAAAGCATGGATTGAACACTTTAATCCCATATGTTTGGTTAGTCAATTTTGCTGCGTAGACTCTGCATGAAGCATATTTGTACTGCTGTACAGAAGATACACTACTGTAAGCGTGTGCAGAGGGCGGTGTCGCGATGCCGTATTGCCACGTGTCCCGTGGGAGATCGAGTGTGGGGGCATGTGCTTGGGGAATCATCCGCTGGACGGGGCTTCGTAGAACCCCTCAGCCTTTATTTCGTTGAGTTAATTGTGCCGTTGTGGAGTCTGCGCTGGTTGGTGCAATGTCGACAGGCCGGACGACCTTCGCAGAAAATGAAGTGAAAACAGAAAGTATTGCTGCCTACATGTACTCCTCCATGACTCCGGAGTAGAAACGAATTTGCACGGACGGGGCAGTAAGGCGCAACGGAAATCGATCTGGTGTTTCTTAATGGAGGTGCGATGCCAGCGATTCGTGGCCGTCAAACGAATGAAACAGGAACCCCAGCAATGGGACAAAAAACAACTGTTAGCTTCCCGCAGCAGAGAGGGAATATGAAACGCAAAGCGCCACAACAGCAGCAGCAGCAGCAGCAGCGACAGTCTCGACTCTCCTTTCCTCCGCCACAGGCAGAAAAAACTCAAAACTGTTGAGGTCTGCAAACCGCTAAATTATGCATATAGTCTATGCTCCAAAGCCAACGGAGAGATAGACGCCTGAAGCAAAACTAACGAAGCAACCAAAAATGCGCTTTCCGGCCGTCAAGGAAAGTCCTCTCGGCCCGCCTATGGATGGATACTGGTCCGATTTTCCAGGGCCCGGGTGGGGGTTCTGATCGCGTGGGGGAGGTCTCCGCCATTGCGAGAGAGCTGACAGAAGCAGTCATTCGTCAAGTATACAAATGTTCAACGTCTACACTGAATGTCATGACTTTCCGCACACCCCCCCCCCAAGAATCCGCGGGACGAAAGCCGGGACGGGACGGGACCACCCGTGGCACACATTGAGGCGTACATACCTGCACAGTCTCCTTGGCATCCTTGGCGATTTTGGCGTTGTCGGGGAGCGACTTCTTCATGATGCGGGAAATGTTGGCGATAGGCAAGAAGCGGTCCTGCTCCCTCAGCTCCTCCGTATCTACGATCGCGTCTTCTGCCATATTATTTTTGGTGATATATTCTGGTCCACCTTTCCCCCCACCCCGACCTGATATTACAACCCCCCGAGACTGCGAGAGCACGCACCGGGCCGAGTCGCTGGGAGAACTTAGCACTTTAGTGGCTCTCTACCCTCAAGCGCGCGCTGGTGTGCGGGCCCAGAAGAGATAAGAGTAGCGGGGGCCCGCACATAGCAACGTGCATAGGTGGGGCGGGGGGGGGGGGGCTACCCACCGCACCACTGCACGCTGCACAGCACACCGAACCGCTGGCAGCATAACGCTGGCCGCACGCGCCATGTCTGTGGTGGAACCGAGTACGAACGGCAAGGCCGCCATGGCTGGGGTGTCGAGGGGGCCGGGAGGTGGAGGGGATGGCACCGCTGAGCAGGAAAACGTTCAGGTTTGTGCGCAAGAATTTGGCAGAACAACACGCCTTTTCATCTTTGCTCCCCGGGACCTCCGCCTCGGTGTTCCTCCGACAGAGATAGACCACCCACCGCACACACTGAGGTGCACTCCCCTTTGATAGGGGGATGATGGCGGAGCCCTTTGGTAGTGTCTCTGCTGTCGCTCGCTCACTCGCGCCACTCACGTCGGTACCCCGTCCAGGAAACATTGGCCAAGTTCAAGAGGTTGCTGTCGCTCGCCCGGCGAAGCATCGAGGAGAACCAGAGGCAGATCACGGAGAAGGACGGTCAGCTCGCTGCGTTGCGAGAAGCGTTGGGTGCCGCGGAGAACGCACGCCGAAGGTTCGTTCGTGCGATCCGCGTGTGTTGGTCGATACTCGTAACTGCTAGCTTGGGGCGTGTGTCGACCAAGCGAGGCCGGATGTGAGCAGCGTGATGCAGAACGTGTACAGCAGTAGCTGAGCAGCATGCAAGGTGTGATGTGACAGCAGCCGATACCTGTTCTAAACAGCAGCTAGCTTTTACAGCTGCAAAGCCTGCTGTGTTCCCTATTTTTGTTGGGAGGGTTCGACGGTGGAAGCGCACAAGTTAGCAACACAAACCGACGAGCGACATGTCGACTCGTAACAGCACCGGTAGGGTAACAGTAGCTGGGTGCAATAAACTGCTGTATCAGTACCCCTTGCCTCTGAGAGAGAGCAAGATCACATGTATTGCGTAGGGTACAGGTTTCGTGGAGACGTTTAACCCTTTTGTGACTAACCCCACTCTGGGGTGAGGATAGCAGTGAGGTTACTCTTCCTAGCTATACAGTTTTTGGTGTTCTGAGCACTGCCGACCAAGGGCTATACAGCGCGAATAGATCGCGTGCGCGCGTGCTCGCGCCGTGCGGGGACACATGCAGCAGAGTTCCTCCGAAAAAAAAACACACGCGGGAGTTCCACATGTTCACACACGTGGAAGATCCACAATTTAGTCAGTCACATAAGGGTTGCACAATCAGCGCCGCGGCCTACTGACTGCTCGGGTGTGGACACATGCACCGCTGGGTCCCGGCTTGACCCGCACAACTGGCAATGGACGGCCATATATTTCCAAGGGCGAAACATGCGGTACACAGCAGTAGCAGCAGCACCGGCGGCGTGAGTACAAGTCTTCAAACCCAAACGTTGCCGCTCAGATGTCGAAACGATCTTACTTGATCATCGAAAGGATTCCCCCGACGTGGGTGGAGTCATGAGAGAACAGAGCGCCATCAAAGAGGCGGTGCAAGACCAAGGAGAGCCCTCGAAAAAGCTGACTGCCAGCTGCTGTGACCATCTTGCACAAGCCCGAACAGCCCACACAGCTGACGTGTTTGGACTCAAAGAGCCCAGCGAACCACGCCGAACATAAGAAGAACGAAATCAAATACCTATGTTGTTCTTACCACCAGCTGGCATACTGATACAATTCGGTGTACAGGCTTAAACAAACTCAAAATATGCCCAGTTTCCAGCTGGTTTTCCTCCACTCACTGAAAAGACTCCACCACATCCCTTTCGACCGTGGCTAGATCTTGAACGCGTAGTCTCTCTGTGTGCATATAGGTATTTTTTAGGAAGAATAAACACACACACAGAAATACCACCCGTTCGAGATATATATACGCACAGCAGTCGAACGGGATGTGTTGGAGACCTTTCAGTGAGTGGAGGAAAACCGGCTGGGGACTGGACTTATTTCGAGTATTTTTAAGCCCATACACTGATGGTTTATATCAGTGATACCAGCTGGTGCTAAGTACGGAAACATCTGTACAGGTAGCCTACATTTACATGTCTATATCTACGCAGGCGGTCACACCCGAGCAGAAGCACGGCAGCACGTACGCATACACACCTCTTGAGGTCTCCTGTGCAAAATCCATACCGTAAGTAAGTGGCGGAGACATGGCACCAAGGCTAGACCGACTTTCAAAGCTCAATTGCTCCACAAACAAATGGGTGGTGCGGAAAGAGCCCGATACGTCAACGGATTTCCCTCGACGAGATGTTCCCAAAACCACCATAATTTGTGTCGGAACAATCTGATTTAGTTGTGAAGCAATCAAGCTTTGACAATCGATCTTATGGGGGGTGCCATCTCTCCGCCTCGTACGGTGGTTTTCGTTGACCTTTTTTGTCGGGAGCACGATTAATCTGAACCAAACCTGCCGTCGTGGGGCTTGGCAAACATGACGAACAACGAAACAAAAACAGAGACGACGAACACGCTGGAGCCACGCCGCTGCAGCTACTCCGGAGGGTTCGCGAGGGAGGCATGTGGTGGCTGCTGGTGGAGTACGATGACGAGTACGAGACTCAGGGCTGGAAGGGTGAGTCCGCACGCCCTTCTCTTTTGGAGGAACCATCACGCGGGATCTTCGGCCGGCCTTCGGGAGGACGTTGGAGCGTTATTTGTGATACAGAGAGGTAGAGAGGGGGGTTTCGTATCCCTATCCCTATCCCTGTTCCTATCCCTTACCCCTACACCCAAGCGTAATGTCCTCGCGCGAAGGCTACTGGCCGATTCTCTACATGCATGCGTGCAGCTCGATGAAATGGGGCGCGGTTAGATCATGACCGTTTTCGAACTGTTTGGTTGGCGGCGACTGTTAGACGGGTTTTTCATGTCGGTGGACAAACGACCTACATGTTCATTGTGGATGTTCCACTTACACCCGTTTATTCTACTCGAAATCGGGTATTTATCTGCTCTTGCTGCGCGGCCTTCCCTTGCCCTTGTGTTGGGCAGGCTTCGCGGACGAGGCTGCCGTCTCCGAGTTTGCCAACAGCGTCAACGTGGGGGAGCCGCTCAACATCCCTCCGGTGTCGCTGTCACCGGAAGAGTCGGCGACGGTGGTGAGCGAGAGCAAAGAGGGGGGGGGGGGGGGGGGGGGGCCCCGTTTTTTTTTATTGGGAGGACAAGGTTTT